ATGGAGCTGAGATCGCCTTTGTCTTTGGAAAGCCCTTCTTAGCTGGTGATGTATCCACGCTTGCTGAAGTATCCCTTTTAAAGCATCCTTATTACCCATTTTACTGACTGGAGGGCTTTAGAATAGGCTTTCTCTCTCACAAGCATTGCAATGAACATAATAATTTTCTGTCTTTAGTAGCAGATACCTCTAATGCAATGAGTCATCTGCAGCTCTCTCCTTGAGAGCAACAGGTAGAACTGGCCACAGCCTGTTGGCATTGATGGGGCTGCTACTGATTATCCAGTTTCTAATGCTGCCATTTCCTCTCTCACTTTGCAGGACACGCTACAGAAGAAGAGCATAAACTTAGCAGAACTGTTATGAAATACTGGGCTAACTTTGCTAGAAATGGGTGAGAATCTAATGCTATTTACAGCTCAAGTTTGGTCTGTGCTGCCTGAGACAAATTTATGTGCCTGAAGCAGTGCTTAATGTGGTGGTTCCTAGAAATCTGCCACGATTTAAGATAAATATTGAAGGAAATTATTTCTCTTTCTAACGTCTTTTAAATGTCAGAAAACTTACACGAGCTCAGATTATGTGATTGTGGGCAGTGAGAGGCCAATGGAAAGGTAACTTGTCCTTCTGTTATTTCCAGAAATCCCAATGGAGAAGGCTTGGTCCACTGGCCTCAGTATGACCTGGATGAGAAATACCTGGAGATAGACCTGAAGCAAAAGGCAGCCCAGAAACTGAAAGAAGGCAAAATGAAGGTTTGGACACATCTCGTGAAAAAAATGATGAGTGAAAGGAGAGAACACACAGATTTGTAAGAGCTGCAGAGGGTACAGTTTGCTGTGAAGACCCAAAGTAAAGTCAAACAAAACCAGTTTGTCAGGATTCAGAGTTATAATCACCTTCTAACTCACTTGCATATAATCTGTTGTCCTGGTCACAGTCAAAGAGGAGAAACAAGGCAAATTTAGAATGTTTGTTGGACTAAAAATCACTATTTAATGGAGCAAACAGAAAAAACCCACAAACAACTAGAAAGTCCGAGTTTGTCGGGTACCTAGATGAGTCACCTATAGTTTTGACTTATTACTCCTCCCTTAACCGTTTATTTAACTTTAGAATTCTTTAATAAATATGTCTTATAATCATAAGTGTCAGATTATGCTTACTTCCCTTCTTTCAGAAGAGCATGACCATTTGTCCTTCTTACAGCCTCTTTCCACTTTCTTGAATTGGAAATAGCTTGTAGGGAGCAGAGCACCCATCAAAGGACATCTGTGAGATTGGCTCAGCATCTCACAAGTGAGGACAGAAAACCTCCACTTGTTTTATTGGTTTGTGAATTGTTATAAATAAATGTTGCTTTCAATTTTTTTTGGAACTTCCTTTTCTTTCACTGAACTGACACAGGCTAATTCCAAGAGGTCAAATCACACCCAGCAAGCCAGAAATGTGCCCAGTTTCTTTCTTCAACCTGAAGGGTCTCAGGGATAAATTTTTCAGGTTTCTTTGCAGAACCTGAGCCTCAAGGCTAACGTGCAAAAAACCCCAGCTGTTACCATTACTTGCAAAAAGCCATCATTAAGTAACAGCTGATTGCAAAGACTGTAGTGCTGGACATTTTATTCCTCCCCTTGATTTGGTCTGAAGCAGCCTTTGTGCCCATTATTGGTTTGTTAGTTGAACCAGTGTTTCTGTCCTTGTAGGTTCACAAAAATTGGTGTTTTTAAACGAGATACAAGAAATTCCGTGTGTTTGGGAACGCAAAGTCAAAAGTATAACATCAGTGGGAAAGGGAGGCCTGGAATTTTATTGGGCACATACGACAACAAAGGACTTCCTGACTGTGAGAAGGCGGCCTGAGGTACCTCCCCTGAGGAGGGAGGTACCGGGGAACAGGGACAGCCCCGCTCCCGCCCTGAGGAGGGAGGTACCGGGGAACAGGGACAGCCCCGCTCCCCGCCCTGAGGAGGGAGGCTCCCGGGGAACAGGGACGGCCCCGCTCCCCGCCCTGAGGAGGGAGGTACCGGGGAACAGGGACGGCCCCGCTCCCCGCCCTGAGGAGGGAGGTACCGGGGAACGGGGACAGCCCCGCTCCCCGCCCTGAGGAGGGAGGTACCCGGGAACGGGGACAGCCCCGCTCCCCGCCCTGAGGAGGGAGGTACCGGGGAACAGGGACGGCCCCGCTCCCCGCCCTGAGGAGGGAGGTACCGGGGAACGGGGACAGCCCCGCTCCCCGCCCTGAGGAGGGAGGTACCCGGGAACAGGGACGGCCCCGCTCCCCGCCCTGAGGAGGGAGGTACCGGGGAACAGGGACGGCCCCGCTCCCCGCCCTGAGGAGGGAGGTACCCGGGAACAGGGACAGCCCCGGCCGTTCCCGGTGCGCTGCCGATCGCGGTCCGGGCGGTTCCGCCGCCATGGTGGGCCCGGGCCCGGCGCCGCTGGAGAACGCGAACCCGCTGATCTACCGGCGCTCCGGGGAGCGGCCCGTCACCGCCCGCGACGAGGACGAGGAGCTGCCCGACCCCATCGACGACCGCGAGATCTTCGATATCCTGGGCCGGGCAGGGCAGGGCAGGGCAGGGCAGGGCCGGGCAGGGTGGGTCGGGCAGGGCAGGGCCGCGGCGCTTTCCTTAACCCGCACATCTCATCCGCTCCATCAATGACCCCGAGCACCCCCTCACCCTGGAAGAGCTCAACGTGGTGGAGCAAGTGCGAGTGAAAGTGAGACCCCGCCGAGATGTGCTCGCTGTGGTGGGGGGGCAAAGCGGCCTCAGCCGGCTGGCTAACTAATTACTTCTTCTAGCCTTAAAATATGTTTATCGTAACGGTCTACTGCATAGTGCTTAAAATTAATAATAGTATTTTAACTAGTTAAATAGTATTTATTTTATATAACGATATATTATAACCATGTATTATTATACTTTATTATAGATAACGTATAGTTATAATTAATATCTCTGTATATTTATATGTATTATAATATTATGTTATTAAATGATATTTCAGAATGTCAGTGAACGACATGAGGTACGAGTGACAGTGCAGCACCACGTTGCACGTCACATGAAAGGCCTCGGGCTGGTTTGGGGTAAAATCAGCAGGTTTTGTCCCCAGCTGGTGTTGGTTTTTGCCCAGGTGAACGATGCTGAGAGCACGGTGTCGGTGGAGTTCACCCCCACCATCCCACACTGCAGCATGGCCACCCTCATCGGCCTTTCCATAAAGGTCAAACTGCTTAGGTCTCTGCCTGAGAGGTTCAAGGTGAGCGACCACATCACTCTGGGAAGCAAAAAAGGGGGATTGTGTTTGGAAAAAGGAAAAAAAAAAAAGAAAAAAAAAGGGCAACCCCCCCCAACTTTATAGTGAAAATAACTAGAGCGTTTTTCATTTTGTGAGTGAGGGAGACTCCAGGAACAGAGGGGGCAGTGGGCTGAATATCAGTGCAGAGTTATGGTTCTGTGACAGTCATTGTCTTGGGGTTTGGAGGAAAATTACCTGCAGTGCTTTATGGCCCAGGAGAAGGAGAGGTTGGTGCCCCACCCTTGTCTGAAGCAGGCTTTAGCAGATGGAATGCAGAGTATGCTGTGATTTTAGACTTCCATTTTATTCTGTTATATATATAATAACTGCTCTTGGCAAGAATGTCCATTTCCCCCTCTTTTTGTTACTGTCTTATTTTTATTCAGTAGCTTGAACTTCCCATGTTTTGTTAACTCATCCTCTTCTTCTTTTGTGGTGCCTGTGAAGCTGGATGTTCATATAACACCAGGAACACATGCCTCTGAGCATGCAGGTGAGACTTCAGTGCTCTGTTGTGAGGTCTTTGTGTGTATTTTAGTCTTGAGAGATTCCCACTCCTGCAGAGCGTCTGTTCGGTACCTGGGACTTTGTGTGCGTCAGATGTTCCACAACAGGAACGTGTAATGTCAGAGATTGTTCTGCACCATCCTTTAAGCGTCTCCTCAGGCACCCTGTGCTCTCAGCAGTCATTGATTTTCCTGGGAAATGCAGTGCTCGGAAACTGGGGCGAGC